GAAAGCCGCACTTCGGCTGATGCCGGAAGTGTTTGTAAGAATGCTTTCTCTCCCCTCCTCTAACTCTTTGGGAAAGGGGAAACGGGGCTCCTGGGGGCATAGAGGAGCGGCGGGAGAGAGGGGAGCCCGCTCTAGCCACACACTTAAGGAATTTACGGACTAGGCTCTTTTTCGAAGTCCTCCAGGGTCTTTGGGGCACGTGATCCCCCCTTCACAGCTGGAGGGGAGGGGAACCACGCGGATTGGTTAGGATGGCTTGCGTGAAAAAGTGTTTTCACATCCCGTTATTAGCGTTCTAAGGAGCTGCGGTGGCTCAAGTGGTCAAGACGCTGAACTGCAGGCTGTGGAAGGTCAGTAGTTCAGCAGTTCGAGACCCGAGTGTGCCGCATGACGGAGTGAGCTCCCGTCTCTAGTTCCAGCTCCTGCCAACCTAGCAGTTCGAAAGCAAGACATTGCAAGTCGAGAAATAGGGACCACTTCGGTGGGAAGGGAACAGCGTTCTGTGCACCTTCCGGTATCTTCGGACAGCGCTGGCTCTTCGGCTTGGAAACGGAGATGAGCACCGCAACCCTGGAGTCGGATTCGACTGGCTTTCGAGCAAGGGAACCTTTACCTATTAGCGTTCTAAGGCGTAATGTAGGAAGACCACTTCAATAAATGATTAGGTGCATTTGTTCCGTGGCAATTACTAATACAGCACATAATAAGTATTTATTAAAGTGCTTTTCATACATTATTTCTTAATGTGCTGATGATTATTAAAGTACTATTTATTTATTAGACTGTTTTTTTTTAGTTGCCACTCACCCAGGGGGTCTCACAGCGACATTAAAACCAATAAGGTAAAACAACAGAAAAGCAAATAACAAAGATATAAAACAAATTGTTCCCTCTAAGCTGGGTCAGTGTGAGCCAGCTCACTGTTTTTTAGCCTCCGGCTCACACATTTTTGTCTCCGTTCAGGAAGGAGGGCTCCAGAGCAAACTAATTTACGCAGTAGCCAAATCCAAATGACTCACTCACCACTTTAATGCCAGTAGCTCACAAAGCTGAATTTTTGCTCACAAGACTCCACAGCTTAGAGGGAACATTGAAAACAGTATTAAAATATTAAAACCAATAAGGTAAAACAACACAAAAGCAAATAACATATACAACAGTATTAAAATTTTAAATTATTAAAATACGTGGCTATCGCCATGCCGCTATTAAAACAGCCCAAACGCGATAACCCTCCAAAGGCCAACCTAAAGTCGGTCTTGCGTGCCCTGCGGAAACAAGTCTGATAGGGCGTGGGTGCTATCCCACAGGGCGGGGGCTCCACAGGGCAGGGGCCACACGGCAGAAGACCCTTACCCTGGTGGGAGCTAACCGAGCCATCCTCAGGCCAGGCACCTGCAAGAGCCCCCTAGACGATGACCGAAGGGAGCGCGGGGGGGTTGTCATCTGTATTAAATGCTAATTGTTAGAAATAATCAGGGGCCATTTCCGGCAGGAGCACACAGGAGCGGAGCTCCGGCAGTAAAGCGCCCACGGGGCGGGCACATGCAACAAGCCCCGCCCCCTGCTCCCAGCAGCCCTCAGTCAGAGCAAGAAGCAGCCGGGTAAGCTGCAGAGCCCCCCCTCCCCGGCCCAAAACAGTCCAGGGGGACCTTTAAGACCAAGTTCTATTCAGGTACAAGCTCTCCCTCCTCTGTGAGGAC